GTCACAACTTTTGGGTCGAATGTTCTTGTGTGTGCGCGTGTTTGAGAGAGATTCTTGTCTACCTTATGAGGGATTTTGAGTGAGAGAGAGAGAGAGGATTTGTTTAAAAACTATGGTTTTTTTTTCTTTAGGAAAATTATTTCATGCGGGCTGGATCCCATTTCTGCATATGCGGTCTAGAAGTATAAAGCATCCATGCAAATATGTAGTCCATCTAAAAACAATTGAAACTAACAGTCCAAATTTTTTCTTAATAGAATTATTATTTTTAGTTTTTAAAATTTATTTATTTTTTCATATTCATAATTTCCATGTTAGAGATTACGTATCCTTAAAACTTAAATCGAAAAATCCATCTAAAAAATAGATTTATTAAAGGGCCCACATTTCTACATGTGCTCCCAAATCCTTTTTGTTATGGAAAAGTGTACAAAGAGAGTTTAAATCATATCATTCCTTTGTAAAAAAAAAAAACTTTGTTTAACACACGGTCCAAAGTTTGGAATCTCGCCAAATTAATAACTATGATTTATAAGCCAATAATTGCATTTAACAACTTAAATGGACCGTTTAAAACTATGCTTGGTTGTCTCTGATAGCCTCTTTGCTGTATAATTGATTGTAAGTTTTCTTGATCATCAATAAAAAATTTAACATTGTCCAAAAGAAAAGCGACATTAAACCCCTTATATTCATTATTTTAATAAAACATTCTCAGCTGGGGTTTTCTTAGAAAGACCTTTAAATAGTACCTTAATTAAAGTAAAATTTTAATAATTCTTTTCAGAAACTTAATAAAAAAAATAAGTCTTCAAACATCAAAAAAATCAATAGAAAAAGGCAATTTTCTTCTTTTTGGTATAAATCTATGATCAAAACCATGGATTCAAGCTTGAACCCAGGGTCTCAAGCCCGAGTTACCTGATCCGATGGTTGAGACAGCCCAGCTGATATTTTCCTAAATAACCTTGATTTCTAGGTTGATCAGTGTGTTTTTTATTGTGGACTCTTTAATATAGAAGGTTATCATGTACAACTCTATAAATCTGTACAAATGAAGATTAATTCTCTCTCATACTCTGGTATCAGAGCGTAAAATTTTACCTGTATTTAATCTCTTTTAGAATTTTTTTTTTTTGGCCAGATTTTTTCGTTGACACGACCTGCTTTTCCGGCGAGTTGTAAAAGCTTGGGCTTCATATCTTCAATTTTTCCGGTCAATATTCAGGGTTTTCTTTGCCAAATCCAGAACCTTTCTTTTGGCTATCGACCAACCGAATTCCGATAATTTTTTAACGGCCAGCAACTCTCCGACCGCCGAAACCACCGAAACGAGGCTCTCTTCCCCATTACGCCTCTAAGCCAGCCGTTTCCCTGCTAAAAAGGGAGTTTTCGGGTGCTTGTAACGAGTGAAATCGACCTGTTTTTTGGGTTCCTGTGGAATCGAAGGTCGACTTTCCATCAAAGAAGCCCACTGGTTCAGGCTCTCATTGACCTTGCCTTTGCCTTCTCTTGTTTGAGCAAGCCACACATCTGCCAGGTATTGCAGCCGCTTGTGACCCTCTTCTCTCTCTACTAAAATCGCTGTCTTTTTTTTGGGAGAGCAAAGATCTGTGAAGTCCCTCACGGCGCCTTTTTCAGCTTCTTGTTCCCTTTTCCCTTATAAAACTGTCTCTCATAAGTTCGTTGTGGTCCACTGAGACCACATTATTTCAAGAAGGGAATATTCTTATTCCACTATTTTATGGGCTACTCTTGTGCACTTCGCTAGCTTCAATAATTACAGGGTGTTGAACCTCTTACTTTCTCGGGCATTCTTTTTGGGTTTCTTTTTTTTTTAGCTTGGCTCGATAAGGACTTTTTTTGTTCTTTTTTTACCATGTATTTGTTCCCATGGCTGAAAATTCTAACAATAGTGAGCCAAATCCCAACCTTAGAAAGCAAGGAGTTAATTATATTTTTTGGACAAACTCTACCAAATTATTTATTAGTGGAAAAAAAAAATTGGGATACATAAATGGAACTAAAAATGCCCCGTAAAGTACTAATCCAAAATATGAGGAGTGAGAAACTAACAATGATTTGAAAAAAGGTTGGCTTTTGAATTCTATGAATCGCAAAATTCCTTCAGTCTAAATAATGCCGCAAAAGTTAATCAAATTAAATAAGAAATTATGAATTTGAAGTTGGGTGATCAAACTTTTTAGTGAGCGTATTGGTATTGTCTCTGATATATTTGATCAATTAAATTATTATCTGCCCACCACTGCTGAATTGAAAAACACTTGAAACTAAAAAAGATCAACAAAAGACATTTGCCTTGATATCTGGTCTTGGACTTGAACATGAGGCTTTGAGAAGCCAAATCTTACTGTCTAAATAAATTCCTGAGTTTGATTTTACTTGTTTCATTATTAATGGAGAAGAATCTAAGCGTCATGCTATGATACGAAATGATAAAAATCATCCAGAGAAATCAGATAGGTCGGCTCTTAAAAGTGAAACTAATCATAGCTTTGGAAAAGCTTTTACTTTAAACTTTAAACCAAGGCATGGGCGTGGCAAAAATCGTGGTACTGAATGTAAGAAGAAAGGTCACAATAACTGATAGAACTCTCACTCCTGTTGAAGGAAATGGAAAAACCAAATTTTTTAGTAGCTCATTTTACTCTGATGTTCTTTATTTACCCTCTTTTTCATCTAATCTATTATCTGTCAGTAAAATCACCCAAAGCCACAATTGTGATGTAATATTTTCTCCTTCAGATGTGTTCTTTCAAGACCGGATCACGGGGAGGAAGATTGGTTAAGGGAAGCTACTTCATGGGCTTTACATTTTAGATTCTGCCACAAAAGCCCTTGTAACAGACAATAGAAAATGGCATTTGAGATTCGGACATCCCTCTGAGAAAAATCTTTGTTACATTTTTCCTTCATTGCATTTGGACTCTATGGACTGTGAGATTTGTCGGTACTCGAAATAAACTCGTTTGCCTTTTAGAAGTTCTACTATAACATCTCTTGCTCCATTTAATTTAATTCATACTGATATTTGGGGACTTGCTCCAATTAAATCTACTCTTGGACATCGATATTTTGTGATATTTATTGATGATTTTTTGAGCACGATTTGGCTATATTTACTCCATTCAAAAGATCAAGTTTTCCCCATTTTTCGAGATTTTTCTAAAATGATTGAAACTCAATTTGATGCCAAAATTAAAATTGTTGCAATCTGATAATGGGACAGAGTATGTAAACAACATTTTTTCCACTTATCTTAAAGGAACAAGGAATTATTCATCAAACTTATTGCGTTGGAACTCCCCAACAAAATGAAATTGCCAAACGCAAGAATCGTCATTTACTTGAGGTCACTCGAGCTCTAATGTTTCAGAGCAATATGCTAAAACATTTTTTAGGAGATGCTATTTTAACAGCATGTTACTTAATAAATAGATGGTCAAGCAAACTTTTGAAAAGTAGATCTCTTGTAGAAGTTTTAAAAGGAAAGAAGACTTCTTTGACTCATCTCAAAATATTTGGATGTGTCTGTTTTGTGCACAATCAAAATTTTGATAAATTAAGTGCTAAAGCAAAAAAAAATATGGTCATCGGTTACTGTCCCACTCAAAAGGCATATAAATGCTATGATCCGATCAATCACAAAGTTATCATTTCCTGTGATGTTGTTTTTTGGGAAAATGAACCATATTTTTATGCCCAACATCATTGTTGATAATTTTGATACCGATAAAAATGATGGAGGAGAAGCAGTTGAAGTACCTCATGAAGAAGAACATCAAGGTGAACCTCATCAAATCGACTCTCATGTGGCCCCTCCTTCCATTACTCGGTCTCAACGTATCACTCGTCTCCCAAGTAAGTTTTTCTATTTTTATATCTATAATGCTTCCACCTATCCTATTGAACAATTTGTTGATTACTCTCATATGTCTCAAAATTATTTTTCTTACCTTAGCTATATTTCTTCCAATATAGAACCGGCTAACTTCCAAGAGGCTATTTCCAACTCAGTTTGAAAAAAGGCTATGGAAGAAGAACTCTGGGCCCTTGATAAGAACCATACTTGGGAACTTATCAAGTTACCCAAAGGAAAGAAAGTGGTTGAAAATAAATAAGTTTATAAAATCAAATACAAGAGTGATGGTATGATTGAGAAGTACAAAGCTAAGTTGGTTGCAAAAGGGTTTACACAAACTTATGGTGAAAACTATAAAGAAACTTTAGCACCTATGGCCAAAATGAACTCTGTTAGAGTTCTTCTTTCAATTGCCACAAATCAAATTTAGCCCTTGTTCCAACTCAATGTTAAAAATACTTTTCTTCAAGGTGATTTAGAAAAAGAGGTGCATATGGAAATACCTCATGGACACCTTCGAAAAAATTCAGATCTTGTGTGCAAACTAAAGCAAGCAATATATGGCTTAAAACAATCTCCTATGGGCTGGTATGCCAAGTTAAGCAGTGCCCTATTAAATAATAGTTTTACTAGAAGCGTCGTTGATTCTTCTATATTTATGAAAAGGAATAATGGTTTTACTAGAAGCGATGCTGATTCTTCTATATTTATTAAAAGGAATTCCGCTGGAATTGTTGTTGTATTGGTATATATTGATGACATTATAGTCACTGGGAGCCACATACAAGGGATTGATCAACTAAAGAAATATCTCGGCTGTGTTTTTTATATTAAAGATTTAGGAAAATTAAAGTATTTCCTTAGTACATAAGTTGTTTATTCTAAGAACGGATTGTTTCTTCGGATCTTCTCACATGCAGGGCATTGATAGGATTCTAAGATATTTAAAATCTTCCCCTGATCATGGAATCTGGATGAAAAACAATGGACATGAAAACGTAATTGGTTATTGTGATACAGATTGGGCTGGTAACCCTTCAGATAGAAAATCTACCACAGGTTTTTGTACTTTTGTTAGTAAAAATATTGTTACATGGAAAAGTAAAAATGCAAAATATTGTCGTTAGATCCAGTGCTGAGGCAGAATATAGTGTCATGGCATCCACAATTTGTGAACTAATTTGGTTAAAATTCTTTCCCAATGACTTAGGTTTCAGATCAACCAAGCCATACCATTACTTTGTGATAACCAAGCTGCGATCCATATTGCAACTAATCTCGTTTTTCATAAAAGAACTAAACATATTGAAGTTGATTGTCATTTGGTCAGCGAAAATGTTCAAGCCAAGACGATTTGTACCCCTCGTGTTAACAATAAAAATCAACTTGTAGATATCTTCACTAAAGCACTTGGCAAGGAGAAATTTGTCTGTGCTCTTACCAAGTTGGGCTCATTCAATCTCTTTGCACCAACTTGAGGGGAAGTGTTGAGGTAGCCTCGTGATATCTGTATATCAGCTGCTTTCCTAAATAACCTTGATTTCCTTTAATCAAGCTGATCACTGTTTCCTATTGTGAACTCGTCAATATAGAAGGTTATCATGTACAACTCTATAAATATGTATAAGGGAGCCATAGAAGAGTCATAATAATAAAGATTAATTCTCCGTTCGTGGATATAGGTCCAATTGGTTGAATCACGTAAATTCTGGAGTATTCATTTTCTCTCTCATACTCTTAACACTACTCAAGCAGATCTTGAGTCATACCGATGATTTTTTTTTTTTTTCCTAACAAATAAAGCAGCAAAGAGGGATATTTGGGGCTGATTCCAAGGTTTTCCTTTGGAATCACTAGGGTTCTTATTTGGGCTAACTTGGGTAACTCCCAATCAGCCCTGCAAGTATTTAGTCAATGTTATCAATGCATGTATTAAAAGGTTTTAGTCAGTGTTATACATATGGGCAATGATCTCATGCAACAGCTGTATTAAAGTATAATGTAACCATACTTCTAGAAAACCATGTTTATGGTATTTGTATGACCCATAATTTCGCACACACACTCTCTTCATCTCAATAATCAATCCCAAAAAAAAAAAAAAAATTCAATTTGAACTCTAGATATGGTCAAAATTAGTTCCATCCTCCAACAAATCTAGACCATTCATTTGGTGAATTTCAAGATCTTTGCTGTTCTTTTTTAACATTGTTCATCTAATGATAATAAAGCAATCTAAAAAAAATGGAAACGAAAAAATATTTCTAAGGCATTGATCTAAGCATCTTATTAAAATGGATGGCCTATGTTAATTGGACTAAAAAAATACTTTCTAAGTTCCATTTTCAATTTTTTCTTTTTGTGATTGTTCATTAAAATGAAATGAGTGTATATTTCAAACTTTGGATCAAACAAATGGCCCTAACATGGTTTTTGAAGATTGTTACGTTATACTATGATACAACTGTTGCATGAAATCACTGCCCTATAAATACATAAATAGGGCAAATGTATTAAACCATGCAATATTATTTTTGCCATCTCTCTCACCTTCAATCTTCGATATATGCTTTCCAACTTGTTTGGCGCATCCTTTGCAATGCAAAGACACCCTTAATATCACCATCTGTGTATTCAGTCACAGGACAAACAAATTAGGTTTTAGCAACAAAAAAAAAAATGAAGAAAAAGAATAATTTATGTGGAAATTATAAGAGGCCATTTAGTTTTAATACAAGAACATCATAATCATTGATGTCCATCAAATTTAAAAACAAGTGACTCAAAGTTCAAATAAAAATAAAGATCTCTAATTTTGTCACACACCCCTAGCCGTCCAATTTGACTTCTAATGGAGGGGCTCAAAAGCATATGCCGTATTGGAGAACAAAAGGTTCCTCATAAAAAAGAGGACTAACGTGCCACTAAAGTTGAAGTACCCCAAACATTATGCTCGTTCTGAGGATTATACGAAAAGTTTTAGCATTTAGAGGTTTCACTATTGGGAAAGGTTTCTATATTTCCTCTACAGTACATAAGATCTATGCTTCCCCTATCATCTAACAATCCCATTTTGATCAAGTGAGCCACTCACGGTTTGATCCTAGATCTGACGCCTCAGAGTATTTTATTTTTAATTTCTTTTATGCAAAGTGTGTGAATATGATATTTGGTACGTGTCATCTTCTCATTGGGATGCACCTACAAAAAATATTAAAAATAATTTTCTATAAAACATAACGACCAAAAAAACCCATTAAATCTTTCAGGGGTATTTTGGTTATTTTTGTTGGGATTTTTTTTTTATATTTTTTACAGGTGTGAGTTTAGTAGAGGATTGGATGCCCAAAATTTGGTGTCAAAATATTTTATATATAAAAATTAAAATAAAATAGTGTAGAGACGTGACATTGTGATTGGGAAATCTTAGCCATCCATTCAAAATGGATGGTTGGATAAGAGGAAGTATATAAGTTTTATGTTGTAGGGGAAACATAGAAAGCTTGCCCTTAACTATTTCACCATATTCTCTAGAATCTTGAGGGAAGGAAATCCCATCATTTATATCCTTAGGGTGGCAATAGGCCCGGCTCTAAAATACTAGGGCATGGGACACAAAATATGGCTAAAGGGGCAGGCCACAGTCGGGCCACTAAAGCCTAAGGGCTAAGTGGGGCCAAGGCCAAGATAGGGTCATCCCAATTCGGCACAAGCTGGGCCTTATTTCTTTATTAGGGCAAGGTGGAGCATTTTTAAATAAAAATAGAAGAGGTGCTCCACGTTAGTTTGATGGAGACTTAATGTGGTTCTCTCTATAGAGATGCACTTCACTTTAAAGTCTCATGGTGTATTTTCTAATAGAGTATGGGAGAGTTCTTATATTGTGATGTATCATCCAAACTGACGCCCTTTTGTTGATTTAATGTGGGATGAGTAGGAGATTTTGGATTTAGAGTCCACCCCTTTTGGGTGCTATGACATCCATGGAATTTTTAATATTATTAATGGCTAATAGAAAAGAGGATATCCATGCTATTGTTGGACTTGCCAATAGTAGGGAAAGGAATAAGAAATTATATGTGATAGGAAATTTCCATGGAAGATAAAGTTGATTTGAGAAAATATTATCTAAAATAAAATTAATAAGTCATTTTTGGATAGGATTATCTCATGGGGATATTCTAATAAAGATGGGTTAAGAGAGAAAAGAAGTAGAGAATCATTATGAGATTTACATGCCTCTCCAAAAAAGTCTTTTTACCCATATAGGTGAATTAATAGAACTTGAGCCTTCTATCAAAGGTTCGGGATTTGTATTGTGTATACGATACTTTCAGTAAGTCAGTTTAAGGTTGCAAGAATCGAATTCTTGAATCAGAAGAAACTCTTGCAAAAAAAATGAGAAAAATTGCACCATGAAATTGGATTAATAAAAATTTATATCACCTCGATCCAATCATTATATTTTTGTATTTCCGTTGCATTAGGATTCGCCCGATGAAACCAGCAAGACAAGGGTGTAGAACACAAACCCTTTATTCAAATTTATAAACGCCAACTAATAATTGATTTCATTTATTAATTTCTTTCAAAACATGAATATCCTCACTTGTCCATATTTGGGGGCAACTAGCATCAATTTTCCAATGCATAAACGTTGGTGGAGTTTGTCCAGCACTGGAGCAATTGAACCAATAAATAAATGCAAGGAATGGCACATTTTTATTAAGGGTGTGGTTTGTACAAGGAGGAGGCCGTAGACAAACAAAGTAGGGCCCCTTAAAAAAGTGCAGAAATATGTATTTTCAGTATTAGAAATCTTTATAATAGACTAAAAATTTATTTTTATTTCTAGTTATTACATTTAAAATTCAAAAATTCGTTAGATCAAGTAGATCTATGAATATCTAATTAGAAATTTTAAAATTCAAAATTAGTGTAGATCAAGCGGATATATGGACACTTGAAAATCTTGAAAATTGACAGTCTAGATAATGGACTACAAGATGTACTATTTTCAAGATTTGAAGTCCAATTTCCTTTTACATCCATATATATCAAGGTCGAGATGATCAGATTTGAGAGTTTTTCAGCATCAACACAACTTCTTCCACTGAATTTTTGAGTTTGATAGTTTAGGGCCTCAACCTTATATAAATTTTTTCCTTTTCATAGTTCGCTCCTCGGGAAAAACCCATATTAGATATTATTAGGACCTCAAATTTTGTCAACATCTTCAACCAACCTAAAAGAAATATTTTTTAATAATTAGAAAACCTAAAGCTTCCAATCTTTCAACCATGAATTGCTTATTTTATTTTGAAAACGTAGGGTGACAATTGCTTATTACATTTTGAGAGAGAAAAAGCCATGAATTATGCAGGAAGAGAGAGAGAGGGCAAGGCCATGGATTACACAGAATCACAGAGAGAGAGAGAGAGAGAGAGAGGGCAAGGCCATGGATTACACAGGATCAGAGAGAGAGGGGACCCAAGAACAATGATTTACTATGGGGAATCAAGATCTGAAACTGTTTAAACACTTTAAAAAAATGAACAAATCAAAGCTATTACGAGAAAGAATAGTTTACCTGGGGCATCAACTGAAAAGCCAACCTATCTCTTTCCTCGGAAATTATATCCCTAATCCTCATGACATGACCTCTGTTATTCTGTATCAGACCTCTTCTCTCTTCACCATCACCTTCAATGTTCTCTGATCCCAAACACAAGCACATCGAACTTGCCCCATTTGAGAAACATAAGCAATTCAGTACTCTGCTTATACCCATTGACCTACTGAGAGGAATGAAAGACAAGGAAATTAAGAGCCCAAAGAGAAGCTTAAAGCTTCAAATAGCACCGGTATTTATTATGAGCAATGGTCACAATCATTTCGAGTTATCAAATGTAGAATTAAATGGGTAGGATACTTCACAAAGCTCGAATATATTTTTAGACTTAGCCGTCAATCTTTCGTTCGCATCAATGGCCCGACTTCACTTACTGTCGAGAGTGATTGTGATCTTTTTGATCTGCTCCCAATTAGATAGTTTTTTTTTTATCTTATTTTTTTCTTAATTTAAATAGCTAGGAGCTTTGGATAAGTGTTTGATGTGATGTTTGATTATTTTTTTACATTAATTTAATGTTTTCTTTATTAAACATTTGAGTATTTTAATAACAAAAGTTTTATTATAATTTATACCCTAATAATCTAACGATGCGAATGCCCAAAACATGACACCCTTAAGTTACTGCATGTGATAGCGTAGTAAGTTTAAATTTTAAGAAAACTAACTACAATACCCCTGAGTTATTTTCCAAATGGAAAATTATGGGCCGTTTGGGTATCTGTAAATCTGTTACAGGAAAATAGATTATTATGAAATTCATTATTTTTAGTGTTTGGGTATGTACATGGTAGGCAGAAAATGAAATACATTACCAAAAATTTCATTCAAAACCATAAAATCAATTAGTTGCCCCAAGAGCTGAAAAATGTATTACGGAGTTGACGGATAATGTGGAGCTTGACAGACCCGCTACAAAACATACTATACACCTCATAAATTTGAGGTCAATATATAAGTGTGACTCTCTCTCTCTAAAGTCTTGCGAGGACCATAACTTTTAACTTTACCAAGGTGCTCCTCTTCCTTTTTCTCTTTCTAAAATATTCACCCCTTTTTTTTCTTTTACGTAATGCCCTTCTTTTGTAAGTCTTCAAAATATTGTTGTTATATTAATATGAGCATTATAATTGTTTTTTATTTAGTTTTAATTCATATTTTCCATGGAAAAATATTAAGAGATATAAAACAATCACATTACTATAGGAAAAATTTATGCAATATTTCCAAGCCAAAATGACGGTAATGCATTTCTTAGATTTCCTTCAGACATAGCCAAACAACAATAATAGCTTTTTAATAGAATAATTATAGGGAGAAGAGAAATTAAATTAATCTATGTGGATAGTACTTTCGTATATTAAAAAACAAAGTAGTTTTAAATTGATTATTTATCCTAAAAAAGAAAAAAATATTAAAAACACCACCTTACTATAGATAAAATTAACACAGTATTTCCTACCCAAAAATATCGATAATGTATTTTCCAGATTTCTTCTAAACATAGCCAAACAGTAACAATTGTATTTCTCAAGTTGCATCTAGATATCACCCAAACAGTAACAATCCATTTGTAGCTACTGTATTACGCCAGTGATATATTTTCCGGAAAATATAGTTCTAGGTACCCAAGTGATTAGTGTATTAAACAAAGGGCATGGTCCCACTGGGGCACACAGTACATTTAGTATGTGGTGAAAAATACAAGAAAATTGCATGCTCCCACGGGATTTATTCCCTTGAATAAAATTGCTATCTCCGAGGATATTTTCAATCTAAAATTTTGGGATCCACTTAAAATTTTTGATATTTATTTTAAAAGAAAAAATTGATGTTGAATCCCCAAGCACTACATCTGACCGTCTAACAATGTGTAGCCTTTGTTCAATCTTAGTTGAGGAGGTTACATCCCCAAAAAATAGGTTTTTAAAAATGAGATTGTGCACAATGAGACCATTTACCTTTGATACAAGGGCACAATTTCTTATAAGCATCTAATGATAGCTTAGATGTATAACAAATTTCAAAAAAAATTTATTTTGAACTTTGAACTTGGTCGATAGAATGAATGCAACCACCTAATATCACATCCAATAGTCAAGATTAATTGTGACCACCTTGTACCAAAAATAAATGGTCTTGTTATATATTTTTCCTTAAATACTCATAAATTTTTTTAACAGGAGGGAGCAAATGCAAGAAATGCATGAAATCTTTTGAAAACAAATCTAGCACTGAAGGGCAATATAGTGATTCTTAAGAAGGGCATTTTTATAAATTCTCAAATATCACTAAGAAGCACCGGCATAAATAAATTTCTCCATGATAGCAAATAAAGTTTAGGGTAGCCAAGCCTCCTCCAAAAACAAAAGAGGAGGTTTCTATAAGGCCTAGGCTTTGTTAAAACAAAATAAAGCCTCACTTCAAATCCTCATCCGAAGAGCACTTTCGACAATGAAAATCTCCATGATGACTCTAAAATCAATTTTCAACACCAAAAATGATGAAACTTAAAAAATGTTAAAGATCTTGTAAATCTATGAACATTTATTTTTAGGGAAAATATGGACGGTTTAGATAACAAATTACAATATACATTATTATTAGAGTTTGAAATCCTAAATTTTTTATACAACTATAATGTTCAAGCCACATGATAGATGTAAAGGTTTTTCAATACTTAAATTGTAATATTTGATGAGTTATAAAGTGAGGCTTTACCTATCAAACCATTTTCCAATAAATGATTGCTAGTTTTGCAAAATAAATGCAAGAAATGTCATGATTATCCATTGAAATCCAGGGCATCTTTGTCATTGCCCTCTCTTTTTTTATTCCTCACACATTAAGAGACAAAAGTTTTAGAGAATTATTGGGACTTATGGTTGGTGTTTGAGGGGCACGCACCATGGGTGGACACCACAATGAGACATAATGGGAGTGAAGCATCAACAAGGACGAGAAAAAGAAAGAAAATGGGGTGATGTGACATCAAGTAATAAAAGGGGCCACGTTGCTCATGTGTGGTCACATGCACATAGCTATATGAGAGAAAGGAGTTCTCATACTTTCTAATGGATTTCTTAGAGAGGGGTTCGGTGGCCCATATAAGACAAGACAAGAGTGGTTCTATTTATGTACATATGCCAATAGAGAGAGAGATGAGCTCCTCATCGACCTATGTTTAAAGTCAAAAACACAGAGTGGGTGTGTGTAAGTTTCAGATATAGGAAGTCAATTGTTTAGTGATAGACTATCTTACTTTTCATCAGTGTCAGCCAATTAAAACCTGGTGATCCCGATTCGGACCGTCTTTTTTTTTTTTTAACGGTTAACGTACAACTTATCATTAATTCATATGTAAAATACAATATGTTCAAGCAAAGACAAGATTACATAAATGAAGTAATCAACAGAAAAGATGTATGGACTCCTCCTTTGGCAAGAACATCGACATCTTCATTCACCTCTCTATAACAATATTGGACCGTTGCCATAGAAGTTGACAAAATATCCCAAATTTGATGAAAAATAATCTTTAATCTCGGGCCTTTCTCTTACTCCAAGCAATGACATTTTTTTAGTCTCTTTCGATAATCCTGCCCGCTTCCAAAGTGCATAGCAATTTCAAACATTCTAATAAACCTCGTGTTTCCACCTCGTTTGCTGTTGTGATACCACAATGACCCAAGTGAGAAAATATAATGTGACCCAAATTATTTCTAATGAGTCCACAAGGGGAACGTCAATTTGGATGGGAACCAGTTGGGACCGAATTTATTTTTGGATGGTATAGGTCTTAACCTGACTCCTCCTAAAACCCTACACATTTTTCTCCATCTTTTTAAATCAAATATTTTTTTAGGTCCCCTCTAAATTCCACCCCATAAAACCCTTACTTTAATTTTTATGAGATTGTATACAAAGAGACCGTTTACCTTTGATACAAGGAGCAAACAATTACTTACAATCATCTGATGTGAAATTTGATAGCTTGGGTGTGTCATAAAGTTCGAAAAAAAAAATTTTGAAGTTTGAACTCCGTTAATAGAATAAATGTAGCCATCTAATTTTACATCCAACTGTTAAGATTAATTCTGACCACCATATACCAAAAATCAATGCCGTCATTGTAGACTTTTCCAATTTTTATTTAGTTTCATTTGTTTTTAATATGTTTCTGAAACATCGATTGAGACCGATCCAGACCAAATTCGGATCACCAATCCAATGATCCAACATAGATCTATGGGTAAACGATATGCCCCATTGATCTGGGCCTTAAAACACTAATCCGTGCATTAAAAACTGGATTGGCGAATAGAATTGTTCACTCACCAATTTTGAGCCCGATCAGACGACTTGGCCGACTAGGCAAAAATTAACAAATAAAAAGATGAAAAAAATAAAACAAAAAGATGAGGAACTTGAACCACTCCCCACATGTTCCAAGTTGGTTCAGGTTCTTCAGATTGGCGATTTTTAATGGCTTTCATGTTATTGATTGTTTTCCATAGAGCACTTGAGTTTAGCTTTCTAGCACCTTCCCAACCATCCGATTCAACAACCAAGAGTTGGATGGTGCCAAAGCTGAAGAGTTTGTTATTCCTCCACCTCCACTTAATATAAGCAGATGAACAATAATCTCAGCCATCCATCATGCATATCTGACAGTTGGGAAGTGGTACGATATCTAAAGTGCTAGTGTAGAACACTTCTCTTTTAAATTTATGTGTGAAAAAAAAAGTATATAAGATTGCAATATTAGACTATAGAAGTGAGGTGCACATAAAAACTATAGTAGAAAAGAATGTTTCAAAGTTGGAAAACCTTCCAACTTATTAAATAAAGATCAAAAAGAATTTGCAGTCGTAAAAAGAATCAGTCTCGTAACAAGTTATCTGAACCATCTATTTCTAATATTTTGAAGTATTTATGGATATGTTTAATCTGCATTAATTTTAGAATTTTATATTTCATAATTAGAGTTGAACGTGTATTGTTAAGCCATCCTAGGGTTTTCAATCATAAAACTACATCTTTCCATAAAATTTGGATATGAGCCTTACGTAGTAGTATAAAGTGGACACCTTATACAATCCTCACCCTTTACGTAGTCTCACCTATTACTATAAGTTATTTATGTCCGACAAGAAAACAAAAGAAAAAATCCAAAGTACTATTTTTCTACAAAAATTATGGACAAGGTCAATCGGCTCTTATCTTTGTCTTTTCCAAATTTCCCATTGGTCCGATGTTTCTAATATCAAGCTGATTTTAAATTTTTGTTTATTTAATTTTTCATGAGGTCGGGGCCGGTCCAATGTCCTAAATATCAGACCAACAAGGTCTAAGCATTCTGAGGTTTAGGAACTCATACCAGTAGTTATGCGCCTTATTACCACAGGAGAGCAGTCCGAGGTCTTAAA